ATTTTCACTGTCATTTTGTCACTGATTTTTATGTGGTGTATTTAGCTTAACAATAAATTGTCCAGATAAATAAATAATGCAGAAATGTGCATAGACAGCTTTGCTGCTATTCATTTATCTTTACAATTCCCCTCAGCCCAGCTTCTACCTGGGCTACCATTAGTTGTAAGGTCTCTCTACATTTTCCTGCTTGCAGCTAACCAAAGGTTTGCACCAACAGCAATTCCACACAGCCCTTCTCTCTCTCTCTCTCTCTCTCTCTCTCTCTCTCTCTCTCTCTCTGTGCTCAAGGGCAGCCCCAGCAGCCTGGCACATAATAAATGAAGGCTGTCCTTCCTCATCAGTGCAGCAAGCCTGGAAAGTGCATTTTGGGGGAAATCATTGCAGGCTTTCAGTTGTATGCATCTGGGCTGCAGAACTGTACTATTTTGGAGCTGCAGCCCTGCGTGAGCTGTAGAAGCCAAGAAACCCTTCATGCTTGTGATGGCATGGGGAGTGGGGACAAGGCTTTAAAAACAGGAATGAATTCAACCCAGCTTGCGTTTAACCTACACAATTAATACCTTTCGAAACAATGACAGAAATGAAATGCAGCAATCTTTCAAAATGTGATACAGTTCTCCAGGTGGGTAATATGTGCCAAAATGCATTTAAAAACTGACATGAAAATGTGGAGAATTGTGTTTAGGAATTGTGTCTCTTTTTCTGCTTTTTTCAATAAAAACCTAAGAAGACCACCTGGATCAGTCCATTGGCCCATGTGGGCCAGTTTTCACAGTGACCAGATCCCGCAGAACCAGGGGGCGGCAAGCTTTACCACGCCTGGGCCAGTTCACTCCAGTGACGATCCCACGCCCGCCATTTCTGGCATCTGCATCTGCACAGACGCAATATTCAGCACCGTGGAAGTGAGTCCCTGTGCCACACTGTGCTGATTTAGCGCAGTGCGCGGGGACTCGCCAAGCGGGCGGCTCGGTTGGGGGGGGCGGCTCGTGGGGGGCGGCCGGTTAAACAACCCCTGTGGGCCACTTGTGGCCCATGGGCCTTAGGCTGCCAACCCCTGCCCAGGACTTTCCCCTTCCGTAGTTTCCAGTGTTTCTGGAAGCATTTCTGCTTCCAAGTGTGGAGGCAGAGCAGAGCCACTGAGCCAGGAGAGAGGCAGCACTTCTGAAATGTGGGAAACGTAATCCTCCATGTGGTCAGAGCTCCTGACGCTTCCAGTAATTGTGTACGTTTTGATCAAGAAACAAACCGCAATCAAGAGGAGCTGCCTATTTTAGTTCAACTTGTAAAGGAAATAACTTAAAGGGCCGAAACCTGTTTTTAGGCAGGGGAGGGAACAGTATCAGAAAGAATTTCTGCTCCACAGAAGCTGCTAAGTGCAAGCCTTGTTGTGCAGTGACCCCTGGAGCCAGCAGGCTCTGCGCTAGAAGCTGCTTTTAACCTCCCTGGCCCGCAGTCGATGGCAGCAGAGGGCTCAGGCGTCAAAAGGAATTTAAGCAACCCAGAAATCCAGGCAGGCTTGAAATAAACCCTTAAAATGTAACAAACCTGCCTTTTGTTTTTATTCTGCAAATGAAAAATGACATCCTCCCTCTCCTCCCTCTGGTGTCCTAGATGAGCAGCTGGTTAATCACATGGGATTAATGAAAACCAAGGATTTCTTAACATGCTCAGCTGTTGACACCAAATCCTCAGAACTTCTGCTTGAATTATTTAGAATGCATGAGGTGTTCATTTATTTCAATGGGTCTCCTCTGAGTAGGACTAGCATTACAACCAGCATTGGATGTCACACTATGATTCTTTGATGGGGAGAGTAACAGGAAACATATTGTGTGGAGCTGCTGTAGTCCCAACCAGGTTGGCTACCTCTGCTCTATATACACTGTTCAATGATGCTGTTTTGCTACCAACACCTTTGTGGAACCTGTATTAGCAGTTAAGGTTCAGCAGACAACACAACCAATGTAAAACGTATCAGGAGAGACTGAAGCCACAGAAAGCCAGTGTCAAGGGATCTAAGATGTCCAACATTTCAGGGATTCTCTAGCTGAGATTCCTGCATTGCAGGGGGTTGGACTAGATGACCCTTGGGTCCCTTCCAACTCTGCGATTCTATGATTCTTTGAACAGTTACTGAGCATCCACAAAAGCTAAAGAGAGATGGGGCAGCCAGCCAACACCTTCTCAGGATGGGCTTGAGCTGTTGTTATGCGTTTTCTAAGCAGGAGGAAATGTGTTCTTCATCAGTCCAATCCAGAGAGCAAAGAAGAGGAGGTTATGCTGGTAAATAAAACCCTGATGCAGTCAAGAGCTCAATATGCACCAGAGAATTCAATTGACAGAGCAAGACTATCAGTCTTGGGCCATCAGGAAGGCTTGGGCACAGCACACTGAAGCAGGCCCTGACAGTCTGAATTAAGCCAAGTGCTAGCCAGATGTCAGCTTCCTCCAACAGATAATTCAATTCAGTCCTATCAAAATCAGGCCCTCAGGGTCTGGTATTTATGTTTGTCTTTGGAACTCATTTGGAAAACTTCAAGGAAAAGAGGTCTTAAAATCCAGTGCTGCTCAGACCTGTGAATTTACCTTCTGGCTCTGATGCATGAAAAAGAGCCTTCACATTTTTTCAAAGTATGTGACTTTGATAAAGGCGAATGGGTCCTTCAGAGGCTACAGACTTGATGACTGTTCACTTGTTGAACTGGATTTGTGTATGTGGAGGGGTGGAGAGAAGGGGATTGTGCCTGCTGTCCCATTGATCAACTCCCGCCCGGGAACCAATGTCCCCACTGTGGAAGGATGTGTGGGTCCAGAATTGGCCTCCACAGTCACTTACAGACTCATTGTTAAAACCGTGTTTATGGAAGACAATCTTACTCGGCTACGAGTGATCGCTAAAAAAGAAGAGTTCTGGACTATAACTCCCACCAGCCCCAACCAGCATGACCAATGGTCAGGAATGCTGGGAGTTGCAGTCCAAAACATCTGGAATGCACCTGTTCCTGGCTCTCCTTCTTGGGTTCAGAACTCAAACCACCATTGAAGGCTTTGAAAGTTTTATTGATGAAATCAGTACACTGTCCCCACATGGGTCTACAGGTTACAAGCAGGTAAAGCACAGCATAATGCCAAGATACCTGGCTGGGCCTAGCTAAGACATTGATCTGACCTTTGACATGTGTGCTGTGCTCTCCTTTTGCAGCGTGGGGTGGGCATGGCTTATTCCCATGGCCAATGTCCCAACCCTCAGGATGGGGAAGCCAACGGGAACTCCTCCACAGAAGCGGGACATGCATGGTTTGCTCACTGGAACATAACAACATCAGAAAAGCCTGCTGGATCAGGCCAATGGCCCATCTCACAGTGGCTATCAAGATGCCCCAATGGAAAACCAGGGAGCAGGATTCCAGCCCAAGAGTCCAACTGCGGATTCTGAGCAGTCATTGTGACCATGCTATCCATGGCCCTCTCCTCCATGGATTTGTCTAATTGTCTTTTAATTTTTTTAAAAAAAATAATATTTATTCCAAATTTAAAATCACAGAAACAAAGAAAAACCATACAGAATAACAGCACGAAAAATAAACAAGTAAAAAGAACAATGACATAGAATAAAAAAGAAAACTTAACAAAAAATATAAAAATGTATTAAGTTAATAATAGAACAAAAACAGATTAAACCTTTACATATCCTTTTCCCTTTGCTTATTTCCAGTGACCTCCTCACACCTCCCAATTTTGTATTCTTGTTCAGATCGTATTTCCAGCAAATCCCTCTAATCTTATTTTCATTTACGTATTTTAAAATTGAAATGGTATAATTAAACCTCCTCTATTTCATCAAATTCATCAACTCATTTTTGCTTAGACCATTATATCATATCTACCAAAACGCCCTAATATTTCTTTTTCCAACCTCCTTCTAACATTCTTTTATATTGGAATACTTTTGAAGATATATTTTGAATTTTTTCCAGTCTTCTTCCATCGACCCTTCTCCCTGGTCTCGAATTCTGCCGGTCATCTCAGCCAGTTCCATATAGTCCATCACTTTCATCTGCCATTCTTCTCGGGTGGGCAGTTCTTGTGTCTTCCAGTACTTCCCGATGAGTATTCTTGCTGCTGTTGTAGCATACATAAAGAAAGTTCTATCCTCCCTTCGCACCAATTGGCCGAACATGCCCAGAAGAAAGGCCGCTGGTTTCTTCAGGAAGGTATACTTAAATACCTTTTTCAGTTCATTATATATCATTTCCCAGAAAGCCTTAATCCTTGGGCATGTCCACCAAAGGTGAAAAAATGTACCCTCCGTCTCTTTACATTTCCAACATTTACTATCTGGCAAGTGATAGATTTTTGCTAGCTTGACTGGGGTTAAGTACCACCTGTAAATCATTTTCATTATGTTTTCTCTTAAGACATTACAAGCCGTAAATTTCATACCTGTGGTCCATAACTGTTCCCAGTCAGCAAACATAATATTATGTCCAAAATCTTGTGCCCATTTAATCATAACAGATTTAACCGTTTCATCCTGTGTATTCCATTTCAACAGCAAGTTATACATTCTTGATAAATTCTTGGTTTTAGGGTCTAACAATTCTGTTTCCAATTTTGATTTTTCCTCCTGGAAGCCAATCTTTTTATCTAAATTGTAAGCCTCCCTTATTTGATAATAATGAAGCCAGTCTCGGACTTTAGTTTTTAATTTATCAAAACTCTGCAGCTTTAGTTTATCTCCATCTTGTTCTAAAATTTCACAATATTTTGGCCAATTTGTCTCCATATTAGTTTTTTTCAGAGCCTTAGCCTCCATTGGTGACAGCCACCTTGGTGTTTTACTTTCCAACAAATCCTTGTATCTTACCCAGACATTAAACAATGCTTTCCTGACAATATGATTCTTAAAGGCCTTATGTGCTTTAACCTTGTCATACCATAAATATGCATGCCATCCAAAGACATTGTCAAAACCTTCTAGATCCAAAATGTCCATGTGTCAGGGGTTCAGGAACAGAGGCACAGGGTAGGCAGGAGATGGAGAGCGATGGGGATGAATCCCAGGACAGCGAGGAAGAGGATGACAATGACTCAAGAGATTCCATGAGTCTTTCCAGCGAATCAGAGGATTCCCAGAAGGGGGCGCCGGTGGTCAAGGCCAGGGGAGCCCCAGGGGGGACGTGTCAGGAGCAGGGGGCCAGCGGGGGATCCCAAAGTGGCAGCTGGGCGTCAGGACCAGCCTCCCCGCCAGAGTGCAGCGAAGGGGGTGGAGGTTTCAGTGTATCAGGGGAAGCGGCTCCGGCAGCAGAGAAGGGAGGGAGGTCGGAGCAAGCCACCCTCCCGGAAGGGGAGGGGGAGTAGTGAAGGGAGTAGTGTAGCTGTTAAAAGGAAGGTTAGAGGTTGGCGCGCGCGCCCAAGTTCAAATGTAGAGGCGCGCGGAAGTACAGGGAGCCCGGAGGAGGGGCCAGGTCCCAAAGCCCGCAGGAGGGGGCAAGAGCAGTCTGGGGATTCCGCGTCAGAGGAATCCAGGAGGGGCGAAACCCCAGCGGGCAGAAAGACCCTGCGGAAAAGGAAAGAGAGAAAGAGGTGGAGCAGCGCAAGCCTCTTAAACTGGTGCAGGGGAGGGACGGATTCAGAGGGGACTTCAGCGGTCTAAGCGTAGCAGACGTAGGGCTGCGCGCCTCGGATGTGAAGCAAACAATGAACTGCAATAAACACTTTTGTATATAAGAAGAGATAGGCGTTGGTCTTTTGTGAGCTGAGACTTGAGGCAGCCCTGACAGTAAGTCCCCTCTCAAAAAACCGCAAAAAATTTTTTTTGCAAAGCTCACGAAGTTTGGCAGACATGACTACTGAGGAGCAGATAACGACCCTGCAAAACGCAGTCGCTGAACTCTCCGTTGCAGTACGGGTCTCTCAGAAGACAGTTGCCGAAGCAGAAGCGCGATGCCAGGATCTGCAAGCCAGGTGGGATCGGGCGTGCAAAGAGGGGTTCCCGGGGTCCAGATCAGAGGGAATCGGACTCGGACGGAGGGGGGGCAATTTAGTAGCCCACTTCGATGGGAACCTGAAGCATTATCCCAATTTCAGAGCAGACGTCGTATACGCGCTGCATTTGCTTCGAAAAGACTTCAAAGATGAGGAGGAGAAAGTAGGCTTTATTGTGTCCCATTTGCATGGGGAAGCTAGAACCTGGTTACGCAATTTGTGGCGCGAAGATGGTCTTGCCCGCAGGGACTCTGACGAATTTATCAAAGCCATGGACGCTTGCTTCCAATCTACCGTTGACGTTGATGTGGCGCGCCAGGAGATGCATGGATTGCGGCAGGGCAAGGCTACAGTGCGTCAGTACCATTCTCGCTGGTTTGCATTGCTGAATGTGCTGGGCTGGGCAAAGGACTCCCTGGCCGGGTGCGACTTGTTCTGGGCGGGGCTTCATGGCTCAGTAAAAGATGAGCTGGCTAGGGAGACAGACCTCAAACCCTAGCAGACGTCGTGCAGAGGGCACTCACGATAGGGGTGCGCCACGAAGAACGCCCTTGGCACAGTGAGGAGGGGCGTCACGTCCGCCCACCAGCTAGAGCGCCTCCTTTTCTTCCCAGGGACCTGGGACGTACAAATCCCTCGCCTATGCTGAAGGGGGAGGAACCAATGGAGCTGGGTGGTGCAAAGGCTCAGACAGCTGCCGGAGCCTCAGCGTCCGGAGCAGTCAAGGCGAAGCCTCCTAGAGGGACCAGGAAGTGTTACATCTGTGACAGTGCACAGCACATGGCTAAAGAGTGTCCCCAGAGGCTCCAGAAGCACACTGCAGCCTTAGCAACAGTAACAGGGGAAGCGTTCCAAGGAGAACAGTTTCAGGGAAACGAGAATGCCTGGCTGGAAGCAGAGATGCTGGGGCTCCGCCAGGCAAGTCAGTGAAGCAGTCCCCAGCGCTTTTGCAGCCTACAGACCCCTTACCACCCAAGCCAGTGGTGCAGCTCACTGCTACTCTCCAGCTACCTAATGGACTCACCCTGGAAGTCCCCATTACGATTGACTCAGGGAGCAACGCAGACTTCGTGGGGATGCAGTTCATCAAGCAGCATCGCATAGCGCTACTACCAGCCACGCTGCCTCTGAACGTCGTCACGGTAGATGGCAGGAAGTTGCTGGGTGGGCAAGTGGTACAACAGACGCCACCCATGCTGCTGAAAATTGGGAATCATCGCGAGGTCATCAGTTTCAATGTCACCCAACTGTCAGACACGCCTATAGTGTTAGGCATGAGTTGGCTGGATAGACACAGCCCATCATTAGCGTGGTACCAGCGGCAGCTCACCTTTGGCTCGTCCTACTGCGCACAACATTGCATCCAGACCGGCCAGGAGGAGGAGGGCCAGGAGGAAGGGCAACAGTTGCATCTAGGCATGGTGCAGGCAGTGCCCCACAAGTACAAGGGGTTTTTGGAGGTCTTCTGCGAAAAGGAAGCTGACCAATTACCACCCCACCGGCCCTACGACTGTGCAATTGACCTCTTACCAGGGGCGACGCTACCGACTGCGAAGCTGTATTCCATGTCTGAAGATGAGATGCAGGAACTCAGGGAGTTCATAGATCACAATTTGAAGCGGGGATTCATCCGAGAATCCAAGGCAGTGGGGGGCAGTCCTGTGTTTTTCGTGAAGAAGAAGGACACGCCCCAAAAACGGCTCATTGTGGACTATAGGGCCATAAACTCGATGACAAAGCCCAAGGCCTTCCCCATGCCCAAGATTGACGACCTGCTCGCGACGGTGAGGAAGGGGAGGATCTTCACCAAGTTGGATCTACGCGGAGCATACAATCTAATACGCATGAGGGAAGGTGACGAGTGGAAGACGGCCATGTTCACGCCGCTGGGCACCTATGAATACAGAGTTATGCCGTTTGGTCTCCAAAATGGCTCCCACTGTTTCCAAGCATTCATGCACCACGTGCTAGCAGGACTCCTCTACAAGAAGTGCGTATGCTTCCTCGACGACATTCTGATCTTCTCAGAATCGCAGGAGACTCACGAGAGAGACGTAAAGGAGGTCCTGCAGAGGCTACGGGAGCACAGACTCTACGCCAAGCTGGAGAAGTGCCAGTTCGACGTGACGGAGGTGGATTTCCTGGGCTACCGGCTGTCCGACAAGGGACTAGCCATGGACAGCGCCAAAGTCCGCGCGGTGTTGGACTGGAATAGCCCGCGCAATCGGAAGGAGGTCCAGAGGTTTGTCGGTTTCGCCAACTTGTACCGCAAGTTCATCAGGGGTTTCGCGAAAGAGACGGCAGCTATCACGGACACCCTCAGTTCCAAGAAGAAAAAGTTCACCTGGACGGACCAGGCGGAGCAGTCCTTCAGGAGACTTAAGAGCCTCTTCGCGTCCGAAGACCAGCTGCTACACGTGAATCCCGGCAGGCCCATGCGGGTTGAGACTGACGCATCTGACAGAGCATTGGGGCCGTCCTCTTGCAGGAAGATCCGCAAGGGAACTGGAGGCCCTGCGCTTTCTATTCCCGGAAGCTCAGCAAGTCGGAACAGAACTACACCATCTGGGACAGGGAGTTGTTGGCCATCCACGCGGCTTTCAAGGCGTGGCGGCACTTCCTCATCGGAGCCAAGCACACCGTGCAGGTCCGCACGGACCACAAGAACCTAGAGTATTGGCGCACGGCGAAGCTCCAGAGCCAGAGGCACATGAGATGGGCGGAGTTCTTTGCGGATTTCGATTTCCGGATAGAGTATATCCCGGGAGACAACAACGTCATAGCGGATGCGCTCTCCAGGAAACCGCAGTATCTCGAGGAAGCGGCACCAGTGGCAGCCAGGCACATTTTCGCACCGCAAGCGTGGGCGTGCGCTTCCGCCGCCGTGGACCTGGACGCGGTACGACGCGCGCTACAGACGGATCCGTTCGCACAATCCAAGATGGAGGAGGTGCGAAGAGGGACAGCAAAGGACGGCGAATTCCAGATACGCGACGGCCTGCTGACCCGCAAAGGTGCTCTCTACGTGCCGGGAGACGATCTCCGCGCGAAGGTTTTACAGCAGTTACACGACGCACCCAGCGCGGGTCACTTCGGCAAAGAAAAGACGGCGGACTTAGTAGCCAGAGACTTTTGGTGGCCCCAGATGCGGGGAGAGGTCGCGGATTACGTCGCCAGGTGTGACACTTGTCAGAGGTCCAAGCCAGTGCACAAGAAGCCAGCGGGATTGCTGGAACCGCTGGAGACGCCACTGCAGCCGTGGGAAAGGGTGGCGCTGGACTTTGTTACTGATCTGCCCAGTTCGCGGGGCAAGACGGCGGTGCTTGTGGTTGTAGATCTGTTCACCAAGATGGCGCACTTCATTCCTTGCGCGAAGGTGGCAACAGCGGAACAGACCGCCAAGCTGTTCATAGACCACGTGTTCCGGGTGCACGGCTTACCGCGGTCCATCCTGTCCGACCGGGGTCGCCAATTCATTTCCAGTTTCTGGCAGAAGCTCCTGGGCATCCTGAATGTCAAGATCAACTTAGCGTCGGCGAGACACCCGCAAACCAACGGCCAAGCGGAGAGGGTCAACGCCATCATGCAGCAGTACCTGCGATGTTACGCCAATCAAAAGCCTGCAACTTGGGTGGACTACTTACCGATGGCCGAGTTTGCCTACAACAACACGAAGCACGCGTCAACGGGGGTGACACCGTTCTTCGCCAACAATGGGCGACATCCCAGAACCTTCCCGGCGTTGGAGACAACGACGCAGAGGAGTCGCAGGGAGCTGAGCATTTAGCAGCAGAATTGCAGGAGGTCCACGAGGAGCTACGACGGCACTTGGAACTAGCTAAACACGCCTACAAAGTGCAGGCAGACAGGCACAGGAGGGCAGGAGAAGACATCCAGGTGGGGGACTGGGTATGGTTAGCAGCCCAGGCGGTGCCGGCCAAGTCGTTAGCTAAGAAGAAGCTAGGACACAAACAGCTAGGGCCATACCAAGTTGAGGGCAGGATCAATCCCGTAGCTTTTCGGTTGACCCTCCCAGAAGGTTCCAGAATGCACCCGGTCTTTCATAGGTCGGTGCTTACACCCTACAAGGCCCCACACAGATTTCAGGAGCCAGGGACGGCACCAGACCCACGTAGAAAGTCACCCGGGGGGAAGTCACCGAGGACCCCGACACTCAACGAGGTCACGGAAATTCTGGACTCGAGATGGGGGGAGGAGGGAGTGGAATACCTCCTCGCCAGGGAAGGTACCCCGGCCAGCGCCAACAGTTGGGTGCCAGATTATGCTCTGGAGGAACCTCTTCTTAAAGACGAGTTCCATGCACTCTTCCCACACAGGCCCATGCCAGCGGAGTATTTTGACGACTGGCTTTTTACGCCCACACTTTCAGGCAGCACCTTCCGGGGGTCTCCTCTGCGGAGGAGACCACGCCGGAATCGAGCCCTCCAAGGGGATCGTGCTCAGGGGTGGACACGGACCGCTCTTATTGGTGGGACGATCAACCAGAAGTGGGGTGGCGAAGGGGGCCTTGGCAAGCAGCATCGCCTGAAGTAACAGGGGGAGGGAAGGGTTTGGATGTGTTGGGGGAGGACCCCGGTTTCGAGCACTCATACACTGAACTGGAAGCAGAGGAGATCGACGTCGATGAACTGTATCCAGCATCTACCCCCGCTACAACGGAGCTCCCGGAACCTGCGCCCGAGCAGCGGGAGGGGGGAAGGGGGGGCTTCGAGGGGGGGATGGATGTCAGGGGTTCAGGGACAGAGGCACAGGGTAGGCAGGAGATGGAGAGCGATGGGGATGAATCCCAGGACAGCGAGGAAGAGGATGACAATGACTCAAGAGATTCCATGAGTCTTTCCAGCGAATCAGAGGATTCCCAGAAGGGGGCGCCGGTGGTCAAGGCCAGGGGAGCCCCAGGGGGGACGTGTCAGGAGCAGGGGGCCAGCGGGGGATCCCAAAGTGGCAGCTGGGTGTCAGGACCAGCCTCCCCGCCAGAGTGCAGCGAAGGGGGTGGAGGTTTCAGTGTATCAGGGGAAGCGGCTCCGGCAGCAGAGAAAGGAGGGAGGTCGGAGCAAGCCACCCTCCCGGAAGGGGAGGGGAGTAGTGAAGGGAGTAGTGTAGCTGTTAAAAGGAAGGTTAGAGGTTGGGCGCGCGCGCCAAGTTCAAATGTAGAGGCGCGCGGAAGTACAGGGAGCCCGGAGGAGGGGCCAGGTCCCAAAGCCCGCAGGAGGGGGCAAGAGCAGTCTGGGGATTCCGCGTCAGAGGAATCCAGGAGGGGCGAAACCCCAGCGGGCAGAAAGACCCTGCGGAAAAGGAAAGAGAGAAAGAGGTGGAGCAGCGCAAGCCTCTTAAACTGGTGCAGGGGAGGGACGGATTCAGAGGGGACTTCAGCGGTCTAAGCGTAGCAGACGTAGGGCTGCGCGCCTCGGATGTGAAGCAAACAATGAACTGCAATAAACACTTTTGTATATAAGAAGAGATAGGCGTTGGTCTTTTGTGAGCTGAGACTTGAGGCAGCCCTGACACCATGTTTTCAAGAAGCAGCCAATCTTTCAGCCAGCAAAATGCGGCTGATTCATAATAAAGTTTAAGGTCTGGCAGGGCAAATCCACCTCTTTCTTTAGCATCAGTTAAAATCTTAAATTTTATTCTTGGCTTCTTGCCCTGCCAGACAAATCTCGAAATATCTCTCTGCCATTTCTTGAAACAGTCCATCTTATCCAAAATCTGCAATGTTTGAAACAAAAACAGCATCCTAGGCAATACATTCATCTTTATCGCAGCAATTCGGCCCAACAATGATAACTTCAATTTTGACCATATTTCCAAATCCTTCTTTACTTCTATCCAACATTTTTCATAATTATCTTTAAATAAATTCACATTTTTAGCAGTCATGTGAACCCCTAAATATTTCACTTTCTTAACCAATGTTAATCCTGTCTCCTTCTGAAACCTCTCTTTCTCAATCTCTGTAAGATTTTTCTCTAACACCTTGGTTTTCACCTTATTCAATTTAAATCCTGCTACTTGACCAAATTCTTGGATTAATTGCAATACTCTTTTTGTACTGGATTCTGGCTCCTGTAATGTCAAAACCAAATCATCAGCAAAAGCTTTCAGTTTATACTGTTTAGCTCCGAGTTGTATACCTTTAACCAATTGGTCTTTCCTAATCATATTAAGCAAAACCTCCAGGACCGATATAAAAAGCAATGGGGAGATTGGGCAACCCTGTCTTGTTCCTTTCTCAATCTTAAACTCTTCTGTAACTACATTATTTACGATCAGCTTAGCTTTCTGTTCCGAATAAATTGCACCTATACCGTTTTCAAAACTTTGGCCTACTCCCATTCCCTGTAAATTGTTCTTCATAAAACTCCAAGAAATATTATCAAAGGCTTTCTCCGCATCCACAAATATTAAAACTGCTTTAGTATTAATATTAACTTGTAGTTTTTCTAAAATATTAATGATATTCCTCGTATTGTCTGACAAATGCCTCCCCGGGAGAAAGCCCGCTTGGTCCTTATGGATTTATTTCACCAATACATTTTTAATCTTTTAGCCATAATTTCTGCAAAAATTTTGTAATCCACATTAAGTAGGGATATGGGACGGTAGTTCTTAAGCTGTGTCTTTTCCACTTCTGTTTTCGGTATGAGTGTAATATAGGCTTCTTTCCACGACTCGGGTGCTTTCCCCCCCCCCCTAATATTTCATTGCAAACTTCTTTCAAAGGCTGCATTAACCATTCTTTCAGAGATTTATAATACTTTGCAGTCAAACCATCTGGCCCTGGAGATTTGCCCAATTTCATGTCCTGAATGGCTCCTTCCACCTCTTGATCAGATATTGTGGAATTTAGCATCAATTTGCTCTCTTGAGAGATTTTTTGTAATCCATTTGTTCTCAAAAATCGATCAATGTCTATTTCTTTCTGAGTCTCCTGCGTGTATAACTGTTTAAAGTATTTCTGAAAACACTTTCTAATATCCACAGGGTTCTGTATACTCTTTCCTTCTACTACCAAGTTCGTAATAGTGTTAAACTTTTGTCTTTTTTTATTTGCCATGCCAGCAATTTCCCACACTTATTCGCTGATTCAAATGTCCTTTGTCTCATCTGTTTGATCTTCCATTCTATTTCCTGATTCGTTAATTTCATATATTGTACTTGATGTAATTTTATCTCTTTTAAAATCTCCTGTGAATTCGATTTTGCCCTCAATCTCTTTTCTCCATCCTTTATTTTCTCCAAAAAATTTTCTCTCTTCTCATTTTGAACTCTTTTCCTAATTGCATTTTGTTGTATCAAGAACCCTCTCATCACTGCTTTGCTTGTGTCCCAAATCACTCTTTTCTCGGTCGTAGTGTTCATGTTTATCTCAAAGTAGTCTCTCAAGTTTTTCTGGGCCTTTTTAATGGTTTCCTCATGCCTAAACAAGGAGTCATTCATCCTCCATCTGAAAGCTCCAATTGGCGTTAATGCCATTTCCATATTTACTGGGTTGTGATCAGAGCAAGTCTTAGGGCCAATTACCGCTTTTTTTATCTTCGGGGCCAGTCCCCTAGTTATCCAAATTTGGTCTATTCTTGTCCATGTCATTTTGGCTTCAGAGAAGAAGGTTCCTTCTCTTTCCAAGGGGTTCTTTATTCTCCAAATGTCTACAAGGTCCATATTATCAGTCATTTCAAAAAATGTCTTTGGTAGTCTGCCATCTTTCGTCACCGTTTGTCTTTGGGCTTTATCCATATTTGTGGACACTACTCCATTCATATCTCCCATCAAAATTATATTGTAATCCAAATAGTTCAATAGGATTTCATGCAATTTTTTAAAGAATTCTGATTTTCCTTCATTTGGCGCATAGATGCCTAATGTCAAAAACTTCTGGCCATGAAGCTGAATTTCAATTGCAATAAATCTTCCTTGCTCATCTTTAAATAGAAATTTTGGTGACAGGCTTTCCTTTGCGTAAAGTACTACTCCTCTTTTTTTTACATTGTCTGATGAAATAAATTCTTCTCCTAATCTTTTATTGATCAAAATTTTCCGATGTAGCCTTGTCACATGCGTTTCTTGTAAACAAATCAAGTCCAAATGTTCTTTTTTTAATATATGAAATACTCTCCCCCTTTTTTCCCGGGAGTTCAAACCATTAATATTCCAGCTTAGTACTTGCAGTGTCATATTGTACTTACTCTCCTTCTCCCCCAACAGCTCCCAAAAGTTTGTCTATATCTGTCGGTGGCGTTGATTTCCCTTTTTTTTGTAGACTCTTGTCCAATACGGCAGGCTCTTTTCCCAGTCCTTTCTGTAAATCTTCTTCATATGTACTCAGAAACTTATTTTTTTCCTCCACTGATCTTATCTTTATCTTTCTTCCTTTGAAGCTAAAAGATAGGCCTTGAGGGAATTCCCACCTGAAAAGAATCTTACTTTTCCTCAACAGGGCCACCAGGTCTCCAAAGTCTTGTCTTAAGTCCAAAAGATGTTTCGGTATATCTTTAAAAATTTCCACTTTTGATTGCAGAATTGTCAAAGGTTTCTCGTAGTGCAAACCTAAAATTTTATCCCTCTCTTCTTTAGATCGGAGGGTAATCAAACAATCCCTTATTTTAATCTTTTTTCCTCCTTTTCCCAATCTAAAGGCCCTCACAATCTTGAAATCTTCTTGTTTCAAATCCGATTTCCAAAATTCTGCAAATTCTTGTGTCAGAAAATCTATCAAGGTGCCCGTCTCCAGCTCAGGAACAGCTCTAATTCTTAGATTGGTTTGTTTCTCTCTGAGTTCAATCATAGACAGCGTCAACTTATGATCTGCAATTTCTTTCTGTAGGCCAGGTACCTTCTCAGTTTCCAGCTGCCCTACTTTAAATTCCACAGCAGCAGTTTTTTCCTGTGTAGACTTCGACTCCTGCAATAATCTCTGAATGGATTCTGTGTTGCTGTTCACCTTTTTCCCCAAGTTGTCTAATGTTTCTGTATTTAAATCGATTTTTTTATTTGCAGTATCAACTTTCTTATTCGTTTCTTCAACCTTTTTATTCGTCTCATCAACCTTTGTACTGAGTTGTAATAAAGTTTCATTAATCCTGGCCAGAGCACTGGCTAGAACTTCTTCTGCCATTCCACTGGACTTAGCTTGTGTTGCTGTCGTAGGCAAACCAGCAGATGATTGCCTTCGATGCCCCCAGGCTTTCCCAGACCTCAAAACTGACGCGTCTAATTTCTCTCTGCCATCTGCCATAACAATGTAAAAGTCAAGGCCGCTCTCAGATATGCTGTTCCTGTTTACCAGTGGAAAATTCCCTTGTTGCAATTTCAAAAAGTCCCCCTAGGTGGACACTGTTACAACAGTCCAAAGCAGTCACTTTCCCTTTTAAAGTAACAAGAAAAAGAAAAAACAAACTGTAGACAAAGAAGAAGAAACAGTTCCAAAAAGTAGCCTTCCAATTATTTTTCCAACGAAGCTGGCCACAATATATCCACCTTGCTGTCAGCAGATCTCTTTGACAGCTTTTGACAGCTGAGACGTCTCACTGGCAGATTATTCTTTAAACAACTTTACGCAGTCCAAAAACAAACCCCTTCCTTTCCTACTTTCAGAAGGGTAGATTCAAAAAAAATTCTCAGGTCGGAAAGCAGCTCTTTTCAAGTTAAAATTCAACGTTTTAGCTCAAAGTCTCTATGCTTTACACTATTTACAAGACGGGAAGCGGACTTCCTGTATACACCTCCCGCCGCGGTAGCCAATTCAATCCTTTTTACGTTCCAATTCAAAGTCTTTTTCCTTTTAAAGATTTAGTCCAATTCGGAATCTTTTAAGCCCAATTCCACCTACTCACGGTTAGTCTTTTAATCCGGATGTTCCAGGAAAGAAATCAGCGCTCTCTAGCAACGGCAACACGGCTTCGCTCCGCGAAAGCAGCAGTCAACTCACAGCACCGCGCCTCTCCCCCGTTCCGCTCCGAAGCCTCAAAAAAAGGCTTCCTCGCGAGTTGGGGGGGCGCTGAAGGGTGCCCGCCGAGTCTCCACGTTCGCAGGCTTCACCGCCTGCGATTTCTGGGGGTCCCCGCTCCGCCGCAGCGCTCAGGACCCTATTTTCGCGGAGCCGATTCCCTCCGTTACAGAGGGAATCCTCCGTTCGCTAATGGCGCTGACCGGAAGTCCCCTGTCTAATTGTCTTTTAAAGCCATCTTGGTTGGTGGCCATTCCTGCCTCCAGGCAGTTCCATAGTTTAACTCTGCACTGTGTGAAGAAGGACTTTCTTTTTTCCTGCATCTCCCAACATTCAGCTTCACTGGATGTCCACAAGTTGTTAGGAAGAACAACTTTTCTCTATCCACTTTCTCAGTGCCAGACATAATGTTATAATCTTGTATCGTGTCACATTACACTCACCTTTTCTCTAAACTGTCACCCCCATCCTTCTCCTTGTTGAAAAATCCTGGGGATCCTTTGGATTTCAGTTTGGTAACTTTAAATATGACCTTTGAGGAGAGAGTCCCACCTTTAAAACTTGCTACCA